ACAATGTTTACATTTAATACTGTGAGGAGTTGTACTTTTATCAGCCCATTGAGCACCAAGACTCAATTTGAGTACACAAATCATGGTGCAAGTCAAAATAATATCCTTCGAAGTCTGTTGCTATGTACTGTGAGTGGAACGTTATCAAAATGACTGGGCACCACAGTAGTGCATCTTTTCTTGGCATGTGAATGTAAAATGTTCCCATAAAAATGATTAAGAATGGAAAACAAATAATTACAGGTATTTCCCTTGTCCTTTGTTTGGCAGAAAATACAAAGGAGTAGTAATGAGGATTGGTTTAGGCTAAAGCCACTCCCTACATAACACAATGGTACCACAATAAATGTTCAAAGTTTTGGTTGGGTAGCCACCCCAGAATTGCCTATCACTTTGTCAGTGAAGGTCAACAGAGAATGACCTGCCTGTTTTCTAACTGGCAGTTGGCATAACATTGTAAGTATGAATTTAGGAATACAACTTGACAGTCTGATCGGTTTAGATGAGAGACAATGTATCCAGAAAGAGAATAGCAAAAAGAGGAGGCTGGGGCATGCACTGCGAGTGATGGGTTTAGTGTATGGCTCCTGATGGATAGGGAAATGTAAGTCTGGATGATCTGGCTTGATAACAGCAAGGATACAGATAAATATGGGGAAGTCTACCTTTTAAAGTCAAAGGAAAGGAGGTGACACACAACTTTAATCCCAGTACTTGGAGGGCAGAGACAGGTAGATTTCTATTAATTCAAAATCAGCCTGGACTACATAATAAGCTCCAGGTCAGCCAAGGCTGCCTGGAGAGACCCATCTCAAAATGAATGAATGAATGGATGAATGAATGAATGAATGAATGAAGGCTAAGATGGAAGCTAGGTGTTATGTACACATAGGTAATCCCAGAGTTTGAGAGCCTGGGGCAGATGAGGAGTTTGACCACTGGGTTACCTAATGAGTTCTGTGCAAACCTCACAAAGCAAGAACCCGGTTCATAAGTAAAGCGGGCTTGGAAAGAGAATTGAATGTGGGAAATAGGATTAGACTCATTGGAATGTTACTATTTGGATCAAATTGGAAGTCAACAGAGCTTCTGCCATTAGGTAGAGAAGAGGTTTGATTCCTCTCACAGTTAGTGACAGCAGTCACAGCCACTGTCAGATGTAAGCACCTAGAAAGGAGACCATGAGGTGAGGAGTCCATAGCCTTCCTCAGTTCTCTACCTTATCCTTCATTGTCCCCAATAAACCTGGGATCTACCTCTGTAGCCATTGCCACCCTTAGACTAAGTATCAGTTCAGTTCACCCAGGCAAAAGCATGTTCATGAACACAATTTCACCTCTTAATGTATAGCAATTGCCAATGACTTTAGTCAGACACTCAGAATTTTCCTGTTTTATTCAGCAGCATGTTCTTTTCTTTTTCCTTTTTTAAATTATTACTTATTGTATGAGTGTTTTGCCTGCATGTGTGTCTATGTAACACATGTGTACCAGGTGCTCTTGGTGACCAAGATAGGGTGTCAGATCTCCTAGAAGTGGAATTACAAATGGTTATGAAGTACCATGTGGTTGCTGGGAATTGAACTCAGGTCCTCTGCAAGAGCAGCCAGAGCCCTTAACCACTCTCCCTCTTTCCAACTCCAGCACATAGTAAAACAAAAAGTCATAATTTGCTATGTGTGGTGGTACTCACCTTTAATCCCAGGAGGCTAGGGCAGGTGGGTTTCTGTGAGTTTCAACTGAACAAACAAAAAGCAGTCCTGCCCCCATGATATGCAGGAACATAACTCACAGAACTTTTTCAAATAAGCTATAACATTTCATTTCATTTTTGCATAAGCTTGAAGCTTCTTCTTCTTCTTCTTCTTCTTCTTCTTCTTCTTCTTCTTCTTCTTCTTCTTCTTCTTCTTCTTCTTTATTTAAATTAGAAACAAGCTTCTTTTACATGTCAATCTCAATTCCCTCTCCCTCTCCTCCACCCCTGCCCCCAATCCCAACCCCTTTTTCTGCTCCCCATGGAGGGTGAGGCCTTCCATGGGGGATCTTCAAAGTCTGTCATCATTTGGAAGCTTGAAGCTTTTTAAATGGGTACCACTATGTATGAGCACATTAGTGTAATGCTAAAAAAATGCTTCTAGCCTTCTATATTTTAAAACAGTTTGCACCAAGGCATTATTAAGGTATCGGTAATATGTATATATTAGTTGTTTTCACAGAGGTTAATGAATATATCTTAGCTAAGACATGCATCAAAGATTTCTAACAGTCTAAATGTGTTCCAGACAGCTGCTATGCAACACACCACTAATAGGATATTGAGCACCTCAAACTTGAAGGCATGGATCAGGAGTATAGCACAATAACAAAATGCTTACCTAGCATGTACAAAGCCCTTGGGCTCAATGTCAGCAAGACTAAAGTTTGTTGTTGTTGAGGGTATAGTTCATCAAACAGACAAAACCCACAAAGTGAAGCAAATAAACATTTGGAGATAATTTATTTGTTTATTATCTTGATTGTGGTGATAATAATACCTGTGTGTATATATGTTTCAACTCACCAAATTGTATACATTATCTTTAATTTCTTTTATACCATTTATACTTCAATGAAACTAGAAAAATATATTCCAATCACTTTTTGTTTTGTTTTGTTTGTTTTTTGGTTTTGGTTTTTCGAGACAGGGTTACTCTGTGGTTTTGGAGGCTGGCCTGGAACTAGCTCTTGTAGACCAGGTTGGCCTCGAACTCACAGAGATCCGCCTGCCTCTGCCTCCTGAGTGCTGAGATTAAAGGCGTGTGCCATCAACGCCCGGTTTTCCAATCATTATTGACTCACATTATTAAAGAGAGAAAAAAAGGGGAAAAAATCTGAAATAGCATTACTAGGTAAACCTGCCTAGTTTATAATTCATTATGTAGACCAGATTAGCTTCGAACTCACTGTTAGGAATAATGCAGAGTGGATTAGGACTGGAGATGCCAGGTCCCTGGTTCTGCTCTGGGACGGTGAGGATCGCGGTGGTCCCGGGCAGGTGGTTGGGGAAAACAGAGACCTGTAGACGTGACTCATATTGAAAGTTTTATTGAGGGGGAGGTAAAAAGACACAGAGACAGAGGGAGGACTAAAGAGAAGAGGAAGACAGGAAAAGTCCTGTCTGCCCCAGGGGAAAAGCGGGAGAGAGCGTAAGTAGGCAGAGGTCTGTCTTTTAAAGGGGTCCTTTGCACCTGCTGTGCAGACTAGGTAGCCATGGAACCTTGGGCTGATCAGGATACTGCCTGAGTGCATTCTACCAGACAGGAGCAGACCAGCATAATGCCAGGATCCTTACACTCACCAAGATCTGCCTGTCTCTACCTCCCAATTGCTGGTATTAAAGGTGCCTGTCACTACTCTCAGGAACTTATAACTTTTTATATAATTATATTCTCTAAAGTATTTATGAGAATGGCATAGATCTACATTCTTGTAAAACTTTAAAAAATTACGTTTATTTTATTTTATAAGTATGAATGTTTTGCTTGCACATGTACCACGTGTGTGCATGGTGCCTGTGGTGTTCATAAGAGTGTGCCAGATCCCCTGGAACTGGAGTTACAGGAAGTTGCGAACTATCATGTGGGTGCTGGGAACCAAACCCAGTGTCTCTGGAAAAGCAGCTAATGGTCTTGACCACTGAGCTATGTAACCAGCCCCTCTAACAAAACATTTTCGTGTCTAGCTTAATAGTGGGCAGCTGCAGCCAGCATGGTGGCACAAGACTGTAACTCCAGGACTTTAAAGTCAGAAACATGAGGACCACACGGACTGCCTGACTGCAAAATAAGGTATCATATCATACACCCGCCCCCCCCACACACCACCTCTCTTAATTTTGAAAAGGTGAGCATGGCAGTTCACATGGTAATCCCAATATTCAGGAGAACAAGGCAGAAAGACTAACAATGTTAACAATATTTGAATGATATAATAAATCCTACAATAGCTGGGTAGAATGGCCTCACATCTCTAATTCCAGGATTCTGGAGTCAAGGTAGGAGGGCTGATATGAATTCAGAACCACTCTGGTCTCCATAGTAAGTTTCAGGTCAATCAATTTGGCAAACAATGTGAAACTTTGTCTGGGAGAAAACAGCAGCAACTAGAGTCTTCTATCGGCTTCCATATGTTATTATACATAATGTGCATCCATGACCCAATTAGAGTTTAAAGGGCAAATGTTTTCACATTATTATATGTGTGTGACCATGAAAAGATCTTGAGTATGCCCAGGAAACCCCAGACCACTGTGTGTGAGTCAGCAATTTATTTAATATTTTATTTGTTTATTAAGAATTGTCAGAGGGAGAAGGGACTTACATGTGAAACAAGCTTGTTCCCTAATTTGAACTAAAAAAAAAAAAAAAAATGTCACCAGCCGAGCGTTGATGGCGCACACCTTTAATCCCAGCACTCAGGAGGCAGAGGCAGGCGGATTTCTGTGAGTTCAAAGCCAGCCTGGTCTCCAGAGAAAGTGCCAGGATAGGCTCTAAAGCTACCCAGAGAAACCCTGTCTCGAAAAACAAAAAACAAACAAATAAAAAAAAAAACAAAAAACAACAAAAAAAGAATTGTCAGAATTGTCACATGATGAAAGAAAGCACTCTGATTCATTTAAAAAGTATTCATAAACTGTGCAAGATGAATGTTTGTAATCCCAGCACGAGGGAGGCTGAAGCTGTTCGATTTCCAGGCCAGTCTTGGCCACAAAGTGACCCAACCACCCCCCCCTCAAACAACAACAAAAAATTGTCACATGCTGAAAGAAAACACTTTGATTCATCAAAAAAGTATTCATAAACTGGGCAAGATGAATATTTGTAATCCCAGTCTGGGCCACAAAGTGACCCCTGTCTCAAAAAAAAAAAAAAAAGAAAAGAAGAAAAAGTGTTTGCCCAGTGCTCACTCTATATTGCGCATTGCTTAAAGCGTTCGCCTTCTGTTTGCTCACAATAGAGGGACTCCAGAGCTGACTTGTGAAATAAGACTCAAGGGCTGTGGTGCACACATCTGGGGAAGCAGTGGTCCAGACCAGACAGAGTAGGACCTCTGCAGGTTCTGAGCTGGAATGTAGCCAGAAAGAGTCAGAACCTCCAGAGTCTGCGAGGTGGACAGGGCCTGAGCCCCACCAAACCAGCAACGTAATTTGGTGAAGTTAAGATTTCTGGATGGTGTAAGAAAACATCAGGAAGGGGAAATGGCTAAAAATCTGCATGGAGACCAGAGAAGTGACACAGAAGTCCAACACCCTCCCAAACTCCCGTCTCAAACCAATCCAGTGACACAAAAGGACCAGGGAAAGAGCGAACCCTATCTGGTGGAAGCTTGGGCCTCGGCGCCCGCCGTAGACATCGTGACGAAGCCGACGCGTTGCCCTGGAGCCCCCAAGACGCCGCAGGGCGATCACTGCGGACAGCATCGGCCGGGTACCACGGCCGCCATGTCTGTGCTGGACGTGTTGTGGGAGGACCGCGACGTGCGCTTCGATGTGTCCTCGCAGTGAGTCTCTGCGAAGCGCTGGGACCCCGCGGTTGCGGCCCCCTGCGGCCCTTGGCCTTGCCCTGGCCCGCTGCCTATCCCGAGTGTGAGCCCATCAAGGCTGCGACCCTCCGGGTCCGGTGATGGAGGGAACGTCGGGCAGGGGTTCCAGAAAGCAGGGTTCTAGAACAAAATCCGGAATAGCATTGCCTCTGAACGCTTGGCATGACTGTCAAATGAGGGCGGTGCGAGTGAGAATTCTCCAAAACTTCCGACCACGCAAACCTTGGGTCGAGGCTGAGCTTTCGTCTGAATCTATTAGAGCTTGTTAAACAGAAGGGAATATGCTTTAAAGAGAAGATGGTTAAAAGCCTTCCTGCACAGAAGTTGGGGGTGGGGGGCTCTGAGGTAATAAATGTTGGAAAATACGAAAGCTGAAGTTCTTGGATCAATAAATACCGTGGCGCCTCAGCAACTTCCTAATGGTACCTCCTTAAATGAAAAAAAAAATGAAATATTGGTACATTTCTCAGCTTTTGTGGTAATTGGATGTCTAACATGGTATTAGTTGCTTTAGGATATTTGCAAAATTACAAACTACATTAACTCATTACACACCTTTTAGGAAGTGCGCGCGCGCGCGCGTTTGGGTGGGTGGGTGTGGTGGGCAGGTGTCTCTTAATCCAAACAAAACTCCAGTTTTCATGAACATTTTCAGTTTGCCAGACAATTATCACATGCTGGTTACTTTGCAGATAGAGACAAACAAACAAAAAACAAAACAAAACAAAAAAAAAAAAAACCAAAAGAGGGACTGCTAATCACACTCCCTCATTCTAGTGCAGACTTACTGAGCAAAAGAGCCTGGAAGATGGCTCAGTAACGGTTCTTTCTGTGTGCACGATGCAGGAGTGTTGGTCAGAAGTTACCTTGCAGAAGTCACTTCTCTCCTTTGTTAGGGGCCCCAGAGATCAAAATAGGTCATCAATCTTGGTGGCAGCTACATTTACTTGCTGACCCATGTCACTGGCCCCCTGAGGATACTTCTCATATAAGTGTTTGTTTGTTTGTTTTGTTTTGTTTTGTTTTTCGAGACAGGGTTTCTCTGTGGCTTTGGAGCCTATCCTGGCACTCGCTCTGGAGACTAGGCTGGCCTCAAACTCACAGTGATCCACCTGCCTCTGCCGCCCGAGTGCTGGGATTAAAGGCGTACCCCACCAACGCCCGACCCTCATACTAGTTTTAAACTTCATTTCTTCCCATAACTGCCGGATGTCCTTCCTCTACTTAGAAACCTCTTGGGGCTTGTCTGTTGTCCACAGAATAAGGCCTATCATCGTGGAGTTCCAGATTCTTTGACAGCTTGTCTCCTCAGTCACTCAGCTATTCCCTTTCTCCCGGCACCTCTCTTACCTTTCTTGTTTCTGTTTTTCAGTTGTGCATCCTTTGCTCTTTTCTTTGTAGTTATGCAAGACTCCACTTCCTGATCCAGCTAATTCCCAAGTGGTCCTGGTCAGCTCAGGCCTCGCTGACTCCCAGGGTCTGGAAGCTATTTTCAACTGTACAAGCACTCAGTGCTGTGTACTTGCACTGTAGTATGCCCTATGCCATTGTCTCTCTTCCCTGAATAGACTGGTAGCAGATAGAGCTGAAGTTATAACCCTCACAGTTTTATATTTATTTTAGGCAGATGAAAACAAGACCTGGAGAAGTCCTCATTGATTGTTTAGATTCAATTGAAGACACAAAAGGAAATAATGGGGATAGAGGTGAGTAGATTTGAGTTTTATATTTGTGGTTAAATATATAACTGTTGATTCAAGTTAGCTGGAGAAAAAGCATCGTATGTAAATGTAACTTTGAGAAGAAAGGATAGGATTAATCCTACAGATAGGAAACACAGATTCTCCCTCAGGAAGTGGTCATAGTAAGATGAGAAGCTTGAAGTTATCCAGGGTTTTTCTTTTGCTCAAAACAAGGGGTGGGGAAGCCTGGTTACAAATAATCTCCTCATGGTACCTGAATCCTATTAGAACACAGGAAGCTTTGTTTCAATGAAGTAATGTGCAGTGTGTAGTTTATATGGAGGTGGAGAGGGCATGGGGGAGTTATGCCTTCCAACCCCCTGCCTGCATCTGCTCCTTTTTCGAGCAGTTTCCAAGTGACCGTGCCCCATTCAGGATCCCCTGTTTAAAAGCTGTGAGTACCTCAGAAGATTAGAGCATTTAATCCACTTCTAAGTACTCGGACATGAAATCGTCAGCTTAATGTTCGGCACTGAAGCCACAGAGAGTAAAATGGGGCAAGGAGATTTCATATTTGGGAGATTAGAAAAAGAAACAAGGACAGAGAAAAAAGTCCAGGTCTGGAGGAATGGGCATGGAGCTGCACGGAAGGGTCCCTCCCGAGAAAAGAGGCAGCATAAGAATCCTATAACTTGTAGGAGATAAATAGCTGAAAAATTAAGAGAGTTGGCTGAAAGTTTTGTAAGGCAACTCTTCCCACTCCATAACTTTTTTTCTGGAGATGCTAAAGTATAAAAGACAAAATATTACCTAAGTGAAGTGATTCAAGGAAATCAGTGCCCCTATAATTTTAAGTCATAAAAATTAGTTTGTAAAGCATTAAATAAAATATTAAGTACACACCACTAGTCCCAGCAACTTGTGTGCCTGAGGCAGGAGAATTTGTGGAACCTGTGAATTTGGAAACAGCCGATATGATAAAGTGATACTGTCTAAGCAAGGGTGGTTTCATGGAACCTAGCATAATAAAGCTTTTCAGTCTGAAAGAGCAGGGTAGGAAGAGTGCTTACTCACTCTTAACATCTTTTTAATGTTTATTATTTGCCAACTGCTATTTTTTATATCTGTATATGTAATCTCACTTAGTAGCACTAATTTAAAGTAGACACTCTTACCGTTTTTTCATAGGAGGTAATTGAGAGTCTACTTGGCTTTTCTAATACTGTATAAGTAAATGATTAATCAAACTACATTATATTTTCTGTCTTAGGGTTTCTATTGCTGTGAAGTGACACCATGACCACAGCAACTCTCTTTTCTTTTCTTTTCTTTTCTTTTCTTCTTCTTTTTTTAACAGTGTTGAGTAAGCATATCCATTTCTCTTCAATAGCTGTTAATTTTAAAAAATAGCAAACACAGTGCTGGAAAATTTTGGATAGTATATTCAACCTGTGGTTTTCTCCAGTTTACGACTGTTCTCTCCACCCTTTGTCTAGGAGGAGTGTATCAGCAAAGTCTTGCTTCATCAGATTCAGCCTTGATCCTCCAGTGACCACAGCAACTCTTATAGGGAAAACATTTAATTGCATCTGGCTTTTAGTTTCAGAGGCTTAGTCCATTATAGTCATAGTGGGAAATGTGGTAGAGTACAAGCAGACATGGTGCTGGAGAAGGAAGTAATAGTTCTACATCTTGATCCACAGGCAATAGGATGTGAACTGTGTCCCACATTGGGTGTAGCTTGAGCATATGAAATCTCAAAGCCTACTTCCACAGTGACACACTCCTTCAACAAGGCCACACCTCCTTATAGTGCCACTCTCTACAGGCCAAGTATTCATCCAAAGGATGCACAACTGGGGGCCATACCTAATCAAACCACCACATCCTCTCTATTCTTCTTCTTCTTCTTTTTTTTTTTTTGTTTTTTTGTTTTTTGTTTTTTGAGAAAGAGTCACTCTATGTAGCCCTGGCTACCCTGAAACTCTTATAGTAGACCAGGCTAACCTCAGACTCAAAGATCTGCCTGCTTCCTAGGTGCTGAAATTAAAGGCATGCACCACCATGCCAGGCCTTCTCTCTGCTTTTGATACAGTAGCCATGACTCGTGGACTGGAACTCAAAGATCCACCTGCCTCGGCCTCCACTTCCCCAGTGCTGGATTAATTAAAGACATGCACCAACACATGGGATCTTCTTAAAATTGTTTTGTCCTCCCCAAATTTAAGCCTAAACGTCAATTCAGTTTTATTGCTAACAGGCTTAACTCTGAACTTCTTGGTCTAGCATTGAAGAACTTCTACTTTTCTGCAATCAACCTTTCTTGCTTGTGGCACTAGCAGGATTGGCTATATAAGTACATGGGTCATTTAAATGAGTGCTATTGGACTGGAGAGATGGCTCAGCACTCAAGACTGCTTCCTATGCATTTATAAAGGCCAGAGTGGTTCTCTGCACACCTTTAACATCAGCACAGGGCAGGCTGGCACAGGAGGAGCTCTGCAGCTTGGAGAGTGGTAGAGGAGTCCACCTGGTGCTCTCCCATGTTTTCTGTTCTTTGTGCATCCACAAAAACATCAACACAACACACAAAATGAGAACTGCTAAGAGACACCCAGATGACACTTGTGTATTAATTACTTTCCTCATTTCTGTGGCCACACACCTGACCAAAGAAACTTAAGGAGGGAAGTGTTTGTTTTGTCTCTCAGTTCCAGGGTAGAGTTCATCATAGTAGGCAGGTCTTGACAGTAGGAGCTACCTTGCCCTTGCCCAGCCCATACTTTTTTTTTTTTTTTTTTTAAATCATCTAAACCAGACTGGCCTCAGACTTGGTATGCAGCAGTTTGGCCTTCAGCATCTGGTCCTCATGACTGCATACCCTGAGCCCTGGATCATAGGCTTGCAGCCGCCCATGAGTCACATGAAGCAGCTAATACAGGTGCTGGGCAACCAACCCTCAAGCTATGGAGCCGCAGCTCCCAGTCCCACCTCAGACTGTGCTTTGGAAAGGGCCTTCAGCTAATCTCTTCTTGCTTGCCTTGCCTTTAGGTAGACTCTTAGTAACAAACTTAAGAATCATCTGGCATTCCTTGGCGTTACCCAGAGTCAATCTCTGTAAGTATTCTTAAAAAAAAAAAAAATCCTTTTCAGGAAAGTTGGATGGTGGATTTTGTATTTAAAACAAACAAATAAAAAGTCTAAAGAGCTGAGGACAAAGCTCAGTGGTAGGCACTTGCCTAGCATGCTTAAGGCCCCAGGTCCAATCCCTAGTGCTGTGAAACACAGGAACAATTTTCCTTTGGTTTTTTGTTTGTTTCTTTTGTTTTTCTTTTTTTAAAGATTTATGTATTCAATTTTATGTATGAGTGGTCTATCTGTCTTTATGCCAGAAGAGGGCATCATATCCCACTGTAAATGGTTGCGGGCCTCCATGTGGTTGCTGGGAATTGAACTCAGGACCTCTGGAAGACCCTCCACTGCTCTTAATCTCTGAGCCATCTCTCCAGCCCTTGTTTTGTTTTTCGAGATAGGATTTCTCTGTGTAGTCCTGGCTGTCCTAGAACTCACTTAGTAGACCAGGCTGGCCTCAAACTCACAGAAATCCACTATCACTGCCTCCTGAGTGCTGGGATTAAAGGCACACGCCTGGCAGGAACAATGCTTGTACCATTAAGTATGTGGAAATACAAAACTGCTATTTAAGAAAATCTTCCAAAATCAAAGACTGGTCACAGAATATATGCTTATGCAAAAGAAATGATCTGTTCTTGTGTTTCAGTCTGTCTGTGTTGTGACTTGGGTGTGTGAGATTAGTGTTTTCATGGAATAGTTTTTGTCTATTTTTTGCCCCCTCCCAAAAAAAAAACAGGGTTTCTCTATGTAGCCTTGGCTGTCCTGGAACTACCTCTGTAGGCCAGGCTGGCCTCAAACTCAGAGATCCACCTGCCTCTGTCTTCCGGGTGCTACAATTAAAGGCGTGTGCCACCACTACCAGCATCTTTATGTTTTTTGTTATTGTTTCTGTATTTCATCATGTTTGTCTGGGGTGGGGCTGCGTGTGCCAAGGGGCAGCTTTGTGGTGTCAGTTCTCTGCTTCCACCTTTCCATGGGTTCTGCTGATCAAATTCAGATGCACCAGGTGCCTTTACCTGCCTAGCCATCTCTACTCCCTATTTGGTTTTGATTGTCTTTGAAAACATTGCTCATGGCAAATGCAGTCAGACTTCTTTTAACATAATGGTGGTAAAGTTCTTTTGTTTTTGTTGTTGTATGGGTTTTAGACATTTTCTTTTCCCATGTTAGGAATATTTTAGTTTGTTCAAAGAATTGTGATTCAAAGATTGTTGACCCTCAAGTTCTTGTAACCATTCCTTCATTCATTCTTTCCTTTCTTTCTTTTGCTTGAGATGGGGTCTCACGTGTTCCAGGGTAGCCTTTTACTGCTGTGTCATTGAAAATGACTTGAACTTCTGCTCTCCCTGCCTGCATCTTCTGAGTGCTGGAATTACAAATGTGTGCCACTGCACTGCTTGTGTCTAGTGCTGAGGATCAAGCCGGGGGCTTCCTGTATCCTAAGAGAGCACTCTACCCACTGAGCTACATTCCTAACCTCAGTTTGTACTTATTTCATACAGATTTTAAAAGATGTACTTCTGTCAGGCAATAGTGGCACACACCTTTAATCCAAGCACTTGGGAGGCAGAGGCAGGTGGATCTCTGTGAGTTCGAGGACAGGCTCCAAGCTACAGAGAGAAACCCTGTCTCGAAAAACAAAACAAAAGTTGTACTTCTGATCAAGTTTACTTTTCAAAACTTTAAAGTTCTAGGTTTTTAATTTTTTTTTACAGTATTATGTTTCTCAGTTTACAATATCATACTTCTTATATTCTCTGTCTTTTCTTTAATTTTAGCTATTGGTTACAACTGCATATTGAATATTACAACAAGAACTGCTAACTCTGTAAGTCTGAAAAAGTCCTGGAGAAGTAGATAAATAATGAAGAAACATTAGATATTTAAAGTTAAAACTTGCTTCCACCTTAAATGGGAACTTGTTCTTTAACTCTGAACTTTGTAATAAATTTGTCCTTACAGAAACTTCGAGGCCAGACTGAAGCTCTTTATATACTGACAAAATGTAACACCACCCGATTTGAATTTATTTTCACAAATCTGGTTCCGGGGAGCCCCAGACTTTTTACTTCTGTGATCGCAGTGCACAGGTACAGAAGCATCTCATGGAGTTTTGAGTATGTCAGGTTACTTTGTTGTAATGGTGTGAAAAGATTTAGATGTATGACAATGTCTCAGGTATCTAGAAGAATACTGCATTGTCATATATCAAGCACGTTGAAAGAATTCATACAGTGTGTAAGGAATAGTGGTGCACACTTGTAATCCCACCACTCTAGACGGCAAAGCAGGAGGATTAGGGGGTCTGGGCCACCCTGGGCTACATATCACCACATTTGTAAAGTGGAAGATCACTGGAAAGATTCTGCTAAATTAGCTACCAAGGTAAAAAATTTCTAGTAATGAGTTTAAAAGATTTTTATAGCAGAAATAGACATTCAGATGTTTTCCTTAAATAACCTTTCTTTATAATTATTCAGATTATTAATAATGCTTCCCTGAACATCTATGTACAAATGTTTGGCTCATGAAGTACAGCTTGATGGCTGAGCACTTGCCTAGCATGCTCAAGGTCTTGGGTCCCAGCTCCAACACTATAGCAACATTATTTTTTAGTTTTCATGGTCATACACCTAAACCATAGCTCTTTATTTGACTTAAGAAGTGCTGTAATCAAGACTAGAACACATAGTAAGTTTAAGGCCAACATCTAATTTTCAAAAATATAATAAAATGAAAAGCTTGAAATGATTCATGAGCATAGGAGCTACTTTCTATCAATAATATAAAAAAATTGTGTTCTGGACCTGCAAGATGACTCAGCAGGTAAAGGTGCTTCCTGCCAAGCCTGATGACCCAAGTTCTGCCCCCAGAACCCACATGGCAAGAGAGAACCCACTACCACAAGTTGTTTTCTGACCTCTACACATGCACTGTGGTATGCATGAACACACACACACACACACACACACACACACACACAAGTAAATGTGAAAAAACAAACAGAAAAACACTTATGTTCCTTCCTAAATGAGTAGTGTAAGCAGTTCCATTCTTCTCCTGGCTATGTCTCGATAGATGATAATGAACTAAAGGAAATTAAGATTTATAGACAGAGCGTTCAAACCCTACCGCTTAACAATGTAACAGAATCCTAACTAAAGGAAAACCGGGTTTTGTTTTTTCTCCCTCTTCCTCTCTGCCCTAGGTACTCTTGAGCATTGACAGAGCCTCCTACGCATGGATAGATGCAAACATAATATTTTTAGGTGATAGTAAAATAGTAATTGGACCTTTGTGCCAGAAGAGCACTGATAACTTTGACTAACATTGGAAAATGAAGGATGGATGTGTCAGTATTCTGCCACCATGACAGAAAACCAGAGTCACCCATCTTACTGAAAAGGAAACTAATTTTTTGTTCCTTAGGGTTTTGTTGTTTTGTTTTGTTTTGGTTTGGTTTGGTTTTGGTTTTTGGTTTTTTTCAAGACAGGGTTCTTGATGTCCTGGAACGAGCTCTGTATAGACCAGGCTGGCATCCAACTCAGAGGTCCACCTGCCACTGCCTCCTGAGTGCTGGGATTAAAGGCGTGCACCACACCATGCTGGGCCTTGTTTTGTTTTTTGAAATGGTCTCACTCTATAGCTCAGGCTAATCTAGAACTCAGTATGCTGTCCAGGATGGCCTCAGACTGTCAATAGTTCTCCTGCCTAAGCCTCCCAGGTGATGAGATTACAGGCAGGGTGCTACCACAGCCAGCTGAAGAGTGAATTCACCACAATAATTGAGTGATGTCCATAATCATTAACAGCTATGTATCTAGTAAATGAGTAAGCACAGCCTAACAGCACCACAGTTTCTGTTTGGATTGATTGATCTTTGTTTTATTCTTTTTCCTAGAGCATATGAAACTTCTAAAATGTACCGGGATTTTAAACTGAGAAGTGCAGTCATTCAGAACAAGCAGCTGAGGTTATTGCCACAAGAACATGTGTATGATAAGATCAATGGCGTATGGAATTTATCCAGCGACCAGGTATTGTGTAAAGTCACGAGCCTTTTGGGACTGCTTCAGCAGCTATTTTCCCATTCATCACTGGGTTTGTGTAATTGTTAAACTTAGCATTAGCAATCTGGATAAATTACAGCTTTAGGTATGAAGTACTGTTCTAACCTTCATGGTCTTATGCCCTTTTCATCCCCTTCCATTCTGTACAGAACCAAGAAGTGCAGTGGGCCTCAGAGATGATAGAGTTCAGTCTACTTTTTCCATCAATGAGAAACACAGAGCCACACTTGGCCACACATCACTACCACTACTCTTCATAACACACTGGTAGAGATAAACCATGGTGTGGCTAGACTTAGTACCCCACCAAGTCAGGGTCTTGCTATGAAGCCCTAGCTGGCCTGGCACTCACCAAACAGGGTCCTATTATATAGTCCAGTGTGCCCTGGAACTCACCTTCTTCAGCTGAGGACTGAGCTTCAGAACCCACTAGCTCCAGGGAGATCCATGGACACTAACACTCACATGTACACATTCACACACACACACACACACACACACACACACATATAGTTAAAAGTAGGTATAGTATGGTGACCACAGCCCACCTCTAGCACTCATCAGGCAGGGGGCAGGCAGTTCTCTGTGGGTTTAAAACCACCTGTGTCTATGTAGTGAGTTCTAAGCCAGCCAGAGCTATAAAGTGAGCCCCTGCCTCAAAATAAACAAATATATATATTTTAAAAGTTTCATTGTCTTTTTGGTGGTAGTGGTGTTTGCTTTATTTTATGTGTTATAGGTATCTTGCCTGTGTGTTCACATGTGGACCACATGTGTGCCTGATGCCTATAGAGGTCATTGGATACCCTGGGACTAGAGTTAACAGATGGTTGTGACCTGCCCTGTGGATACTGGGATTGAACCTGGGTCCACTGAAAGCAACTAGTGCTCTTAACCACTAAGCCATCTCTCTAGCCCCAAGTTTGTTTTTGAGACAAGGTCTCATTGTGTAGCCCAGGTTAGCCCTAAACTCATGGTCTTTCTGCCTTAGCCTCCTAAGTCCTGAGATTGCAGGGTAAATTACCACATCTTGCTGTAGTTTTGATATAGATATTTAATACTATCAAATATCTGATAGGTTGATGGGGGTTAAACCATGAATTTATTCTTAGGTGACATAACTCCTTTGCTCAGGCATATCTCAAGTTTTGAATAATAAGTATAGAGAGATGTAATACTTAAAAAAATACTGTGTTGGGCTGGAGAGATGGCTCAGAGGTTAAGAGCACTGACTGTTCTTCCAGAGGTCCTGAGTTCAATTCCCAGCAACCACATGGTGGCTCACAACCATCTGCTATGAGATCTGGTGCCCTCTTCTGGTGTGCAGATATACATGGAAGCAGAATGTTGTATACATAATAAATAAATAAAATCTTTAAAAAAAAATGCTGTGTCAGGCACTATAGTAAAGGCCTTTTTGTGGGGGATGGTAGTTGGTGTTTTGTTTGTTTAATTGATATTTTTCAAGGCAGAGTTTCTCTGTGTAGCCCTCGATGTCCTGGAACTCACTCTGTAGACCAGAAATCTGCATGCCACTGCCTCCCAACTGTTGGGATTAGAAGCATGGGCTACCACCACCTGGCTAAAGTGTTTTTGGGGTTTTTTTGTGTGTGTTTTTTTTAACAAACAAACAAAAAAACAAAACATGTTTTTTCAACACCGACCCCTGTTTTGACAAAATATACCAAATAGAATTTTGTGAAATGGGTGAACTCCACTCATATGCCCTGTATACACAAACACACACACACACACACACACACACACACACACACACTAAATTTTAAAATTTAAAAAGAACTTTGTCCTCAGACAAATATACTAATTTAAAAGCTTTTAACTGTGCTGGTGTCCTGTTGCTTAATGATTCTGGGGTATAAGTGTTCAGTCCTCTAATTGTGCTAGCCTGTAAATAGTAGAGTCACTGGTATTCCATAATACCAATTTCTTGTGTTAATCTACTGTTGGGATAATCAGAATTATTCTGGGTCTTAGAAAACAGACTGGGGCTAGAAAATAGACTAATGGCACACACCATTAAACCCAGCACTTGGGAGGCAGAAGCAGGCAGATCTCTGTGAGTTTGAAGCCAGTCTGGTCTACAGAGCAAGTTCTAGGACAGCCAAAACTATTACACAGAGAAACCCTGTCTCGAAAGACCAAAAAAACAAAAAACAGATCGAGAACACAAACAAGTAATCATTGATTTATCTCTCTCTTCTGCAGGGAAATTTAGGAACTTTTTTTATTACCAATGTGAGAATTGTGTGGCATGCAAACATGAACGACAGCTTTAATGTCAGCATACCATATCTGCAAATTGTAAGTCCATGCATTTTGGTTACCTCCTTTAAACATAGAGTAATATGCATAAGACCAAACTAGACTCCCTTAATATAGGTGACAATAGGGTGACTGGGACAGTATATGAGGCCACTGGCAGTGGGTCCAAGACCTAACACTAATGTACAAACTGACTTAGTGGAGCCCATTCCATATGGAGAGGTACTTTGCCCAGCCTGGACACAGAGGTATGGAGGGTGGAGAGGTGTCTTGGTCCTGCCTCAAGGAAATGATGGGACAGACTTAGTAGAATTCCTATGGGAGGCCTTACCCTCTTTGTGGAGCAGATGGGAGGAGGGGGAGTGGAGGGAGGAAGATGAGAGGGGGAACTGGGATTGGATTGTAAAAAATAAGTTAACAAAAAAATTAGAATAATACCATTAATAGTTTGATATTTGGGGTTATATAAGTTCTGGGTTTTTTTTTCCTTTTTATATACTATTAACTAAAAACATACTTTTGGGGGCCAGTGAGATGGCACAAGTTAAGTTGCTTGCCCCAAACCTGAGTTCAATCCCCGTGACTCCCATGTTAGAAGGACAACCAACTCCAAAGGTTGTTCTCAGACCTCCATACTCATACACACTTGGGCATACATATGTGTCCCTCCCCAAATAAATAAATAAAGTAAATAAATATAATGCTTAAAGTATACTTAAGGATAAATAAAAGCATAGTTTTAAAATGTTAATTTTATTATTTTAACAGAGAAAAGACTTAATGTATTTATAAGTCAGGCATAGTAGATACTTAGAGCAACAAGGACAGAAGGATTTCCACAAGTTCAGGCCTAGTACACATGACAAGTTCCAGACCAGCCAAATGACATAGGGAGACCATGTTTCCAAAACAGAAAAGAAAAAGAAAGAAAAGAGAAAGAGAAAAGCAAAAGGACTGAGGACTGGGGGTGTAACTCATGATAGAGTGCCTTGATAGTATGCTCAAAACCCTGGGTTCAATCCCCAGCATAGAAAGGAAAGAAAAAAACAGCTGTAGACAGGCTTTTCTGTCCCACCAGCCAATTCCAAATAAGCACTCAGAGACTTATTAATTATAAATGCTCAACTGATAATTTAGGCTTGTCTCCAGCCAGCTCTTACAACTTAAATTAACCCCATATTTCTTATCTAAGTTCTACCATGTGGCTCATGACTTGTTACTTCATTTTCTTTCCTTTCTGTTTTAGAGACAGGGTTTCTCTGTATAACAGTCCTGGCTGTCCTGGAACTCACTCTGTAGACCAGGCTGACCTGGAACTTACTAAGATCCACCTGCCTCTGCCTCCCAAGTGGGAGGTTAAGAGCACTGACTGTTCTTCCAGAGGTCCTGAGTTCAATTCCCAACCACCACCACCACCACCACCACCTGGCTGTGCCACCACTGCCCGGCTTTATACAATTTCACAGTGTACAGAAGGATTATTCCTCAGCAAACAGCTTCCCAAGAGGCTGGAGCGATGGCTCAGTGGTTAAGAGCACTCTTTCTGAGGACCCCAGTTAGTTCGGTTCCTAGCCCCGATATCAGGTGGCTCACAACCTCCTGTTACTCAAGCTCCAGGGGATCTGACACCCTCCAAAGACACATATATGCTTTACACACAGATACATGATCATACACATAAATATACATTAGGAAAAAAAGAAGTCAGTGGGCAGCAATCCCCCTTGGCCTCTGCTTCAGTCCTGCCTTGAGCTCCTGTCCTGACTTCCCTTTGTGATGGACTATGATTAGGACACATAAGCTGAAATAAACCATTTCCTCCCAGGGATGCTTTTGGTCATGGTGTTTATCACAGCACTAGAAGCCCTAACTAAAACTTTGTGTTCCCAGTGCACAGCCCTGCTATTGAGGAGCATCGTTCTGGCAGAGGAAGCAACATATTAAATGAATAATCAAAGAATTTGATAGGAAGGAAACCTACAGAAATATGATGGTTTGTTTTGTTTGTGGTATTGGAGATCAAGCCAGGGCCTTACAAACTAGGCAATACTCCACCACTGAGCTATATCACCAGGCAGAAATTGTCATCAAGTCTGGGAAAAATGTGATAGTCTATATAGATATTTGATAAATTGATGTTTGTATTGTTCATTGCTTGGTTTTGTTTGGTTTGAGATGTTTTTGAGGCAGGGTCTCTATGGTCCTGACTGATAGAACTCATCATGTAGCCCAGGCTAGGCTTCAAATTTATAGCAATCCTCCTGCTACACCAACCCAAGAGTTGGGGTTAGTGTTATGCCACCATGCAGTGTTCACACTGCTGCTCTGTGTTCATTTTGTGGCTATTGCTTACCTAGCCTGACCCCTGTTATGCTGAATACTTACTGAGTAGTAAACAACCTTGTGCTTTCTGTTCTTCAAATAGAATATTTTTTTGTTATTTAAGAATAGAGTTGCCAAATGCAGCTTCTGGAATGAATTCAGCCTGACCCAAACAGCTTGCAATATGATACATCACAGCTTGTCACTGTAGTAGTCAGACTCCAACTTCAGCGCTAGCCTCAGCCACTGCTTTACTCCACAGGCCCAAGCTCTCTCTCTCTCTCTCTCTCTCTCTCTCTCTCTGTGTGTGTGTGTGTGTGTGTGTGTGTGTACGTGTACCCTCCCTGTCTGAGTGTGTGTGTGTGTGTGTGTGTGTGTGTGTGTGTGTGTGCGCGCGCATGTACCCTCCCTGTCTGACCAACCTGTGTCACCTAGTTAGATAGATAGGTAGAGATTGACATTTGTCTTAGTTTTCATAGCTGTGATAAAATACAATGACCAAAAGCAACTTGGGGAGCAAAGAGTTTATTTTTGCTACACTTCACGTGCTCCCAAAGAAAACAGCCAATTAGGCTTTGAGCACTTAATGGCTTTTCTAGCCTAAAGTTCAAAGGCCACCACAATCTTCCCAAAAACACATTGTCAGGTCTGCCATAGCAGTACCCATGGGCTGGTACAGAGTTGGGCTTCTGTTGCTGTGTTAAAACACCCTGAGCAAAATCAGCACAGTCCATCGCTGAGGGAGGTGAGGGCAGGAACTCAAGCAAGACAGGAACCTGGCGGCAGGAGCTGATACCAAGGCCGTGGGGGATGCAGTCCACTGGCCAGCACCCTCATGGCTTGCTCAGCCTGATTTCTTGTAGGACCCAGGACCACCTACCCCAAGGTGGTCCCACCCCCAGTGAACAGGGCCCTCTCATACCAATCATGAATTATGGAAATGCCAGGCAGGCTTGCCAGCAGGCCAGTCTCATAGGGCATTTCTCAGTCAGTTCAGGTGGTCTCTTCCCAAATGACCCTAACTTTTGTCAGTTTGACAAAAACCTAACCAGGGCAAGGTGTGAGAAGCAGAATGGTACACATTACTTTAATCTTGCTTTAGGAGCCACGAATGACACTGTCTCCTCATAGCTGAAGATGGCTGGCCTTTTGTGTAAACTGCTGAGAAGACCCATTGACTATATCAGTCAGGAATGGCTCTCCATGAAGCAGCTCCTCATAGCTGTCTTCTGTACATGGCTTTGTCAGTTCACCATCTATCTTCAGTCTGAGTCTTGTCATTTTCGGATTCCTGCCATTTAGACTATGAAGAGTAATTCTTCAGCAAAAGTGGGTGTGGTGGCTAAGGCAGAAGGATTTCCCAGAGTTCAAGGCCAGCCTGGGCTTTGTACTTGTTCCAGGCCAGCCTGAGGTATGAGACCCTTTTTCAAAACCCAGGGCTACAGCACAATACATAATTAAAATGTGTTACTGCTATCAGTTAATAAAAATGTGTTTTTTTCTTTTTCATTTTATATAGCGTTCAATAAAGATTAGAGATTCAAAATTTGGTTTGGCTCTTGTCATAGAAAGCTCTCAGCAGGTAAGATATTTTACATTTTCATTAAACTGATAAATTTTTAACTATGTGGCCAGGTCTTTAGTTGTTATTCTATAGTAACCAGTTTACTTGCTAGAGTATCAACTGTGACATGAAAATCTGTGAAGTGTTTGAAGTCTTATAGTAATTGTCTTGTTAGAAAAAAATCCTCCCTATGTGTGTTTGTGACTATAAACTCAGGAGCTTCCTGCCGCAGCCTCCTAAGTGCTAGAATGATAGGTGTAGACACCATATTACCTGCCAGTTTGCCCATTAGATGGATATAATCATTATATTAACATGATTATGAGGGAAATCACTGTGCTAGCTCAACATATTTCATGTATTATCTCAATATAATAACTCCACAAAATGGCTGTTTTCCCTTCTTACAGTCCAGTATTCTGAGGCCTGGAGAGGTTAGGCACCTTCCCCAGAACCTTGAAGCTGATGGGGATGGGACTGTATTTTTCATCCTGGGTTTGCCTGACTCACAGTTGCTTTGAGAAGCAGGGATTTGTAGAAAATCATATATACTCTGAGATGTTATATTCTCACAGACTGAACAGTATCTAATTAGAAACTGCTAAATACCCATTATATTGTGTATTTGCAGAAATACATTTGAAACTTAAAATATTTTACTTATGTAGACCAGGCTGGTCTTGAGCTTGTGGCTCCCTTGCCTCTGCCTCCTGAGTGCTGAGAAAATAGGCATGTGTGACCATGCCCCCAAATACATTTTTAAGTGTTATCAGAGGCACTATTCTAGTTCCTCCCAGCCCTGCTCCCTTACAGTGTACTCAACAACTGTTCTTCCTTCTAAACAAGGGAGAGAGTTATAAAATCACTTCTAAATTTAAAAATGAATGTCTACTCTCTCTTTCACATGGCCTATTACTGCCATTTACTAAGTACTATATCTCAGGAAGTGTACCAACAGGATATATTTATTCTGTTTAATCAACCACTTGATAACCATTTCATTTTTTTAAATGGGGCTTAGAGTAAGGAAAGAATATTGTCCAATATTAGTTGTTGATCCAGAATTGATCCCAAAAGTATGTGTTTTTAACATGAAATATGCTCTTATAGGATGCCACTTTAAACAAACAAAACACTATCTACCAGCCTGCAGTCAGTCATAGTCAAAACCCTTCAAGGAGATAGCTTCAGATGGACCAGTTTTAATCGATAGTCTGTCTATTCCTTCTCAAGACCTAGTCCAAAAAAAACCCTTAGTTCCTTTGGCCATTACACTCCACTGTGCATACTTTTCATCAGCTTGTGTTTAAAGATGAAATTATATGTGATCTGGACATACATCAGCATATGAGGGAGGGAGGGAGGGAGGGAGGAGTTCAGGGAGAGAAGTCAGAAGAATAGCTGCTCATGTGTTACTGCCACCAGCAGCTCTTCCCTGCCTCCCCGGAGGCTTGCTATACTCCTCTGTTTGGAATTTTCAGAGCTCGGAGTTTAATTTCTTTAGAGAGCTTATCTGTGATGCTCCGAAACAAGCACAGTTAGCCTGCATTCATCGCATCCTGTAGGTATTGTTCCTCAGACTTGGTTTTTGGTTTTTTCATTATTTTTTCTTACAGAGTGGAGGATATGTTCTTGGCTTTAAAATAGACCCTGTGGAAAAACTACAGGAATCAGTTAAGGAGATCAACTCACTTCACAAAGTCTATTCTGCTAGTCCGATATTTGGAGTGAATTATGAAATGGAAGAAAAGGTAATTTGTTCAATACCATGGATATAGAGTTTATTGAACTGCTTACATACTACCTATGAAATTCAAAAGTAAACTTACTGTGTACAAACTTTAAGCATATATGTAGACTTTGGTGAAGTGAGCATGGCCTCGGACTGGCCATCTCTAATTGGTGACTATTACTGACTTCTGAATGCTTCATCGTTCATTCCTCTTGCCCAGCCTAGGTAAGCACCCATTCAGGAAAGCTTGTATGTACTTGCTCCTCTGATGTAGCCAGATTTGAGTTTGTCATTCTATCAGTGTTAGTTTTAGCCTCCCACAGCTGTGTTAGCTAGGACAAACCTTAAAGGCCTCATGGACACCAACCTAGGGTCCGTTGTCCCACAGTGCAGCAAATCCAGAATTTGCTCTGTAAATGTGGCCTGTCTCCATTCTGGTTGATTAGTGCCTCTGACATGCTAGGTTGGAGATATGTTATGGGTTTCTGTTTGTTTGCTATTGGGCCATTTACTTTGTTTTGGCCAGATTGGTCCTCAAGCTCCTATCTACCTTAGACTCAGCATCTATACTGCTGGTACCTTAGACACATACAACTGTGCCCAGCTAGTTTTGAGATGTTTTGCGTGTCATGTCTTCCTCATCTGTTCTGGTTGTGGTACCAAACCCTACTCTCCAGGTGCATCAGCTTTCTCTTGGTCTGATCATCTGTCCAGCTGCAGCCCTCATCATCTGATCTGCCACTAGCATCCTCACTGTCTACACTGGTACCCTGGCCCCAGGCTCTACCTCTGGTGCTCTCCCTATTTCAGTTCCATCACTGGCCACTCTATCACAGGTTCCCTTGTTCTCTGCTCCCCTGCTGGGGCCCCAATGTATACCCTAAAGTTGGTGTCCTAGCCATCCACTTTCATCAGTAACCTTGCTGGTATTCAGACTGCTGAACCTTATCACAACCACTACCCCTCCCATCTCCTTCTGCTCTCAGACTACAGTGTATAGATAGAGAGAACCAGGAAGCAGGCTAGGTAGCGGGAAATTCATGTTCCCTGACTTCACTGAGGTATTCTGCCTTTTACTCTGCATATTCCTTCTCTGCATATTCCTCAGTAATACCGTTGACTACTCCGGCATCATCTTTTGTTTTTATTTATTTTGTGGTTGTGTGCTATGACACACGTGTGGAGGGCAGAGGATAACTTTCAAGAGTCAGTTCTCTTAACGTGAGGGTGCAGGGACAGCTTATCATGCTTGCCAGCACATGCTTTACCTGCTGAGCCATCTCTCCAGCCCAAAGTTAAAGCTTCTTTAACTTTGATGTTTTTGGATGACGTGTACATCTATTTTTCTGATCCTGACACTGTCAACTTATCTTATTTCCAAAAAAAAAAAAAAAGATTCTTAAATTTTGTCACATAGATAAGCATCTCAAATAATAGAAATTAAATTTTATTTGAAATTTTTTGCATTGTGTGTGTATATGTGTGTGTATCTATGTATATGGAAGTTAGAGAACAACTTTTGGGAGTTGGTTCTCCCACAAAGGGTCTTGGGATCTGGGATCAAACTCGGGTCATCAGGCTTGGCTTGGTATTGAATTTCTTTTAGTTTTTAAAAATTATTTTATTATATGCAAGGTGTATACCTTTAACCCCAGCACTCAGGAGGCTGAGACAAGTGGGTATCTGTGTCAGAGGCCAGCATAGTTTGCACAGCAACTTCCAGCCTGATCTACATAGGGCAACCCTGACTCCAGATAATTTATTTATTTATTTATTTATTTATTAAGGTTTTATTTATTTATTTATTATGTATACAACATTCTGCCTCCACGCCAGAAGAGGGAACCAGATTTCATTACAGATGGTTGTGAACCACCATGTGGTTGCTGGGAATTGAACTCAGGACCTCTGGAAGAGCAGCCAGTGCTCTTAACCTCTGAGCCATCTCTCCAGCCCCATTATTTATTAATATGTGGATATATGCTTGTGTGTGCAGAGCCTAAAAGAGAGTGTTGAATTCCCCTGGAGTTATAGGTAGTTGTGAGCCACTCTAAAAGAGCAGCAATTGTTGTTAACCACTGCACCATCTTTCCAGCCCCCTAGAACTAAATTCCTTATTTCATAATTTCATTATCCAAGTCAGTAAGATATATCAGACCTCAAACATGACATTGCTAATAAGAGTCACCTTGTCATGTCCTTCTCAGATGCAGTGTGCTGCTGATTTAGGATTGTTACCTGTTTCTAGTATTGCCAAAGGTAGCTATGCTCAAAATCTTGGGAATGTCCTTCATTTTATCCATTATCTTATCTTGCATATTAATTTGATTCTACCTGTCTTCCCTGTGCCTATTCTTTCCCTTTCCATTCAGACTGTGATTGCTGCTGCTGTGTGAGGAATGGTGTAAAGTCAGCAAAGTCTGGAACCTGACTTTCAATCCCAGATTCACTGTTACGTAGGCTCCTAGCTTCACTTTTCTCACAGCTATTGGACATAATCCCACAGCTACATGGGCATAATCCCACAGCTACATGGGCATAATCCCACAGCTACATGGACATACCCTTTGCATAGCTATGTGTACATAATTCAGTATACACAGCAGAGGTCTGGTGATATTCCACTTCTTGTCCTCTCTGGATTTCTGATCCCAGTTCTCACCCATCACTAGCCATAGTCACCCACCCTTTGACTTCTCAGATGCCTTTTAAGTTCTTCAGGGTGACCTTCTCTGACTAGCCCTTTTCTGTCTAAAAAGTAATTAAGATAAGAGTTTTTTTTTTTCTTTTAAGAATATCTCAGGGCTGGAGAGATGGCTCAGCAGTTAAGAGCACTGACTACTCTTCCAGAGGACCCAGGTTCAATTCCCAGCACCCACATGGCAGCTATCAACTATCTATAACTCCAAGATCTGACACCCTCACACCAACATACATAAAAAATAATATTTCAGCCTGGTGGTGGTGGTGCATGCCTTCAATCCCAGCACTGGGGGGTGGGGGCAGAAGCAGGTGGATCTCTGTGCATATTCCCAGCCTGGTCTACAGAGTGAGTTCCAGGACAGCCAGGTCTGTTACACAGAGAAACCCTGTCTCAAAGAGAAAAAAAAGTCTCTAAATAACTAAATATGTATACATGTACATTTATAGTTTTAAGTATTTTGATGATATTGTTGACTTCAGATTTAAAACCTTATGCTCAACTTTTACAACTCGTTAGTTTTAATATAAGAATAAAATTTGAGTGACTTGAGTGGTCTTTGTTGTTATCCTTTACAAGTATTTGCAGTTCTCATAGTACATTTTTCTAAAAGAACTTGCTTCATATTGACTCTGACATCTTAATTTTTAGCCACAGTCACTTGAAGCTCTGACAGTTGAACAAGTTCAAGATGATGTGGAAATAGATTCTGATGATCACACGGATGCTTTTGTGGTGAGCACCAGCAAGCACTAGTAAATGTCTGTGATGTGCATCTGAGTCGAGTCTAGCTAATAGTGGTGTGACTGTGTACACTGTTGGAAAACTTGAGACTTTTGACATGAGTTCCAGGGGAATTTTTTTTTTTTTTTTTTTAAGATTTTATTTATTTATTATGTATACAGCAATCTTTCTGCATGTATCCCTGCAGGCCAGCAGAGGGCACCAAATCTCTTTACATATGTTTGTGAGCCATCATGTGGTTGCTGGGAATTAAACTCAGGACGTCTGGAAGACCAGCCAGTGTTCTTAACCTCTGAGCCATCTCTCCAGGCCATTGAGGGGGATTTTTTAAATGAGAGAATTTCTTTTGTGAGAATACTTTTAAATTCCCAACCTAGGAAATAGTTTGAGAACAGTTATTTAGAAAAAACGATTTTTCTTTAATTTACATTATTTTAGGATATATATTTGAGCAATATACTTTCCTATTAACAAATACGTATTATTTAATTAGCTAGCATACTAATGATGTTGGTATGGGTGTGTTAATACAAGCCTTTAATCCCAGCACTCGGGAGGTGGAGGCAGGTGGATCTCTGTGAATTCAAGACCACTTAGTGAGAGACCTTGTCTCAAAAAAGTAAAGTAGTGCTGTCTAATCCTGCAGTCTTATGAACCTGATCGTAACATATACCTTCCCTCCAGCAAGAAATAATTTCAAATAAAGATGTGAAATTGGGGCGGTAGTGGCACATGCTTTTAATCCCAGCACTTGAGAGGCAGAGGCAGGCAGATCTCTGTGAGTTCAAAGCCAGCCTGGAGCAAGTTCCAGGACAGCCTCCAAAGCAATACAGAGAAACCGTGTCTTGAAAAACAAACAAACAAACAAACAAAAAGATGTGAAATTGGCATAAAGCGCCCTCCAACTGTATACTGACACTTTAAAGTACTACTTCAGTTTGGTTTGGTTTGTTTCTGGATTTGTTTGTTGTCTATTTTGTTTTGTTGTGGTTTTTGTGTTGTGATTTGTTTTACATTTATTTATGCTTGTTATGTGCACATAGGTGCAGTGCTCTTGGAGGCCAAAGGCCTCAGGTCCACTGGAGCTGAGTTAGAGGTGGTTGTGAGCTGGCTGATGTGATTTGAGAATTAAACTCCATGCTCTTTGCTGTTGATCCATTTCTCCAGGCCCTGGCCTTGAACTCTTGACCTCCTGCCTCCAGATTGGTATGCTGGTATTACAGCCACCACACTTTTTTTGTTGTTGTTATTTGGTTTGTTGATTTTGTTGTTGTTGTTTGTTTATTTTTTGAGACAAGGTTTCTCCATGCACCACATGCCCAGCTCTAAGTGATTACCTTTTTTTTAAATGATGTATTTATTTTATTTTATGTGCATTGGTGTTTTGTCTGCACATATGTCTATATGAGGGTGTCAGATCACTTGGAGATAGGTTACAAATTTGCCATGTAGGTTCAGGGAATTGTTTTTGGGTTTTATTTGTTTGTTTTTATATGCAATGCTGTTTTGCCATGGATGTTGGGTCTCCTGGAACTGGAGTTACGGATAGTTATGAGCTGCCCTGTGGGTGCTGGGAATTGAACCCAGGGCCTCTAGAAGAGTGCTCAGTGTTCTTAACTGCTGAGCCATGTCTCCAGCCCCCTCTGCCATCATCTTCTAAAGTAGAAGCAGAGAAGTCATCTTAAATCTCCTTTCAGGCTAAGAGTGCTGTACATCAATTAGAAAGCCTGTTTGCTTAGCGCATAAAGAGCAACTCTCTCTCTCTCTCTCTCTCTCTCTCTCTCTCTCTCTCTCTCTCTCTCTCTCTCTCTCTCTCTCTCTCTCTCTCTCTCTCTCTCTCTCTCTCTCTCTCTCTCTCTCTCTCTTTCAAGACAGGGTTTCTCTCTGGCTTTGGAGGCTGTCCTGGAACTAGCTCTTGTAGTGGTCTACCTGGTGGCTGGTCTTGAACTCACAGAGATCCACCTGCCTCAGCCTCCCCAGTGCTGGGATTAAAGGCATGCAACACCAACACCCAGTTAAGAGAAACTCTTAGAGATATTATTAATACTGCCATAAGAAATTTTAAAATGTTTCTTGTTTTGTTTTTAAGACAGGGTCTCAAAGTGTAGCCCTAGATGGGGAACTCACTATGTAGACAAATCTGGGTTCACACTTACAAAGTTCTGCCTGCTTCTGCTTCTCTGAGTGTTGGGATTAAGGGCCTGTACCATCACAAGAAATAAGCATTGATGGCAGCACTATAGGTAGAGAAACTATGAAATGCATGATAAGCAAATGTGAAATATACTCACTTACTAAATCTTTCTGAAAATTAATTGCCTGTTCCTTAAACCCCCTGATTATTTTGTATGAAGCATGTAAATATCATTCTCTTTATTTTATAGGCTTATTTTGCTGATGGAAATAAGGTAAGGGCATTTTACCTGTAGTTCTGTTGTTATTGTTGCTCTTTTGTTGTTTTGAGTTGCAATATGACAGCATTTAGCATTCACTAACGCAGTGAAACATTTTTTGTTTTTCCTCTTCCTGGCTCATCTTCCATCCCCACCTATCTTCTTACCTTCCCCAAAGCAACAAGACCGGGAACCTGTATTTTCAGAAGAACTGGGGCTTGCAATAGAGAAACTGAAGGATGGATTCACACTACAGGGACTTTGGGAAGTAATGAGTTGAGCTTGAGTTGATCTGGATTTCTATTTAAATACACCTCAAAAGTAAACGAAACCACTTGCCTGCTCTAGGCATATAATAGTTTTTATACTTAGAGCTTTTATATCTGATATCTTAAGACATTTTTAATAATTAAGAAAACTTCTTAATCTTAGAAAACTGGAAGTTTTCTAAAAATTATATTCAAAATTGTAGCTGAAATGTACCTGGTTTGTAAATGTTTATATTGTACCTAATACTTGTAAAATAACAATTTACAGATATTAAGTGACTATATCATGTTGGATTCAATAAAGATTTTTATTCAGCACCACTTAATGTTTTGAAAGTATTATTTAAAAAAAGAAAAGAGATCATTCTTAAGAAATCATCAGGTCGGGTGGTGGTGGTACACGCCTTTAGTCCCAGCACTCTGGGAGGCAGAGGCAGGCAGATCTCTGTGAGCTCGAAGCCAGCCTGGACTACAGAGCTCCAGGACAGCCAGAGCTACACAGAGAAACTCTGCCTCGAAAATTAAAAACAGAGAGAGAAAAAAAAAAAAGAAAGAGAGAGAAAAAGAAAAGAGATAATCAAATACTTCTTAACTACATACAAATCTTGCTTAAATTTATTATCACAGGACTCTAAAAGTAAAACTCTAATACAAATGCACTCCTATTTGTTTGTTTGTTTTTTGAGACAGGGCCTTACTATTCAGCTCTGGCTGTCCTGGAACTCGAAAAGATCTGTCTGAGGCCTTCCAAATTACAGCTCTTAAACACATCGTTTTTAGGGGCTCATTTTTGTAAAAGCTGATAACTTTAGCAATTGTGTATATCACTACAGAATGCTAGTCTGTAAGTGATGTTATGATTTTGACAAGAATGCATTTGCTTTATAAGGAAATGTTTGGTTCATTCGTTGACTATCTCCTTGTTTGTATTCACTGAGACTCCTTTGAACATTTCTCAGATAACGTCTTTTGGACCTCACTGACATCATGCAGTTGTTTTGGCTACAGTGGCAATCTGAAGAAAATTGATGGAATCTTTCAACAAAAAATTATACGTAGCCAAAGGCACCCTTTTTTATTAGGGAGAAAGGAATGAGCACATACATGCATTTAAAATAAGATGTAATATGTACAATCGTAAACATACAATACAACCTAGTGCTATCCTGATTCACTAAAAACTTGGTGAAAAAAATTGCTCCATGTGGGTTTGCTCGTCGAAATGGGAAAGGATTTCCACATACTTAAGGAACAGAGTTATAATAACCAATACGTAGAGATCACAAACAAAATGCTTCCATAAACATCATTCACTGCTGTTCACGCAAACGGGACCATAAAATGGACCACAAGCAAGGAATCATCTGAAAGTCAGACCCTGATGTTTGTATCTGACTCACTAATCTTTTCAAATGTTAGGTGTTACGTGTATAGAGAAATGAATCATTTATTGTTTAAACAAGGGGAGCAGCTGCTAGCTTCCTCCAGTGTGTTAAAACCTTTAATGACATCTATAAATGGAAAAAGAGCCATTGAGCTCTCCCTTCAGCTGTCATTCTAGCAGCTGACAGTATCATCAACTCACTGTGATATAAAATAAAGAAAATGCCCTGCATGAAGAGACAACTTAAAGGTTGAAAATATACAATTCCCTGATTTGGGGGTGTTTCCTTCTTTAACAAATGCTCATGGAGCATCTATGAGGCCTAGGGACTGTAGAGCCTGAACACACAGACCTACAACACAAAAGTCAGGTCTTCACTGAGCTTATGTTGGGGGCACATTTAAGAACACCAGCCATTGAAACTTTAGCATCCCTGTAGCTCTCTTGAGTTCAGAATGTGATCATGATTGTATAATAAAGGACTTCATGAAGAAAGTTATAATACCATCTAGATAAAATGAACACTTGGGAGGCATGGCAGGCTGGCCTTGAACTCATATGTAGTTGATAATCTTTCTACCTCCACCTCACAGATGCTGGGATTACAGGTGGGTGCCACTGTGCCTGGCTGAGTTCTTTATATCACATCTTCATTCCGTATGCTGTTCCGATATCATCAGCACCATAAGGTGTGGCTCCAGTACCATGCTGTCTTAGACAAGGCCTGCTTTCTAAATGGTGTGGATAGTGCAGCAGCGTGTGCTGACTTCAATGTCTGGGAACAGCATCGTTCTCATAGGGTTGCATCTGTTCCATCTTTTAACCTTTATCTTGTGAAAGGTCCTTTTTAGCACTTAAAGTTACAAAATATTCGCAGTAGTCATATGTATGTGGGTCTTTTCTTTCCCCAAAGACTTAACCAGTTTTCTCTGGTCTTGGTTCGTTTTAAACTTTTGTCTTTATTTTACCCTTTTGCATTAGTTTGTCACTTCAGATCCCTTGTATAACAAGACAGAGTGTGAATGAATTTGATAGTTTAGAACTAAGCATAGTGTTCCTACCTAAAAATAAAGATAATTTAGAATGTTTTAGAAAATTAATTTTGTCTGCATTTGTTATTCCAGTTATGATGGAGGTATCATTTTAAAGGTTATATAAAACTATTAAGTATATAAACATCTTTACATTTCCTACCTGAAAAAGAAAATTCTATCTGGTTGAGTAGAAAATAACATTCTACGTTTTAACATTTTAAGCCACTGGCCTCATAGCTTATGAGAATTGAAATGAACTCACCTCATATTCTTGACCTTGGCATCATTAATTCAGACAGCCAAGTAGCTTGCCACTCACTAGGCCATTTTTAGAGGAGTGACTCACTTTTATGTTCCATTTTTCTGTTAGTTCAGTAAGCATTTTCTTGTGGACGCCCTTTATTGACATATGTTCCAAGGCTTTCTGTAGTTCAAAGCTTTCCAATTCACCTGAATGTCTTGTTTCTTAGCAGTTTCCTTAGTGACCAGAAGTCCCAGTTGTTACTTTCAATCTCAGACAGCTGAACAGCTCTCCTTTCCAAGCCGGCTCTCCTAAATTCCCATCGTTAGAGCTGGTGTCTATATTTAGCCGGTGGGATTAAATTGCAAAGGCTTCAGGCTGCTCAGAGCACACTGATCGGCCCTTTTACAGCCAGACCTGTGTGCAGCTAGGAGCGAAGACCCTCAGTGTCCCCTTCCTTACCCAGGTTCCTCACAGAATGGATTCCCAGCGGGAGCTTGCAGAGGAACTCCGGCTTTACCAATCCACCCTTCTTCAGGACGGTCTAAAAGATCTCCTGGAAGAGAAAAAATTCATCGATTGCACCCTAAAAGCAGGCGACAAAAGTCTTCCTTGCCACAGACTGATATTGTCTGCTTGTAGTCCTTACTTCCGTGAGTATTTTTTATCTGAAATTGAAGAGGAGAAAAAAAAGGAGGTGGTGCTAGATAATGTGGACCCTGCTATACTTGATTTGATCATCAAATACCTGTACTCTGCCAGTATCGATCTCAATGATGGAAACGTGCAAGACATCTTCGCCCTGTCCAGCCGCTTCCAGATCCCCTCCGTCTTCACCGTCTGTGTGTCTTACCTTCAGAAAAGGCTGGCTCCCGGTAACTGTCTGGCCATCCTAAGATTGGGGCTGCTTCTCGACTGTCCGAGACTGGCCATTTCTGCCCGGGAGTTTGTGTCAGATCGCTTTGTGCAGATTTGTAAGGAAGAAGACTTTATGCAGCTATCTCCCCAGGAACTGATCTCGGTCATTTCAAATGACAGTCTCAACGTAGAAAAGGAGGAGGTAGTGTTTGAGGCAGTGATGAAATGGGTGCGGACAGACAAAGAAAACAGGGCGAAAAATCTTAGTGAAGTGTTTGATTGTATTCGTTTCCGCCTTATGGCAGAAAAATACTTCAAAGATCATGTCGAGAAAGATGACATAATTAAAAGCAACCCGGAAGTCCAGAAAAAAATCAAAGTTCTAAAAGACGCTTTTGCAGGCAAACTCCCGGAACCTAGCAAAAACGCAGAGAAGGCAGGGGGAGAGGGGGTGAATGGTGATGTCGGTGATGAAGACTTACTTCCTGGTTACCTCAATGATATTCCCAGACATGGAATGTTCGTTAAAGATCTCATCCTCTTGGTCAATGACACAGCTGCAGTGGCTTACGACCCCATGGAAAATGAATGCTATCTTACTGCCCTCGCAGAGCAGATCCCCAGAAATCATTCCAGTATTGTTACCAAACAGAATCAGATATACGTGGTTGGAGGACTGTATGTGGATGAAGAAAATAAAGATCAACCTCTCCAGTCATACTTCTTCCAGGTAAGCAAGCAGAGGCAGCTGTTCATCCATTAGGCAGTTAGTGAACTTGAGAGGGCTGCTTATGTATTGCTCAAATTGATATCCTGCCATGCCCTCTTACACTTTGAGACTTAGAGTTGGCAGAAATATTCAACTTAATATTTAGTAAAACATAGCCGGGCATTTAGTTCCAGCACTCGGGAGGCAGAGGCAGGTGGATCTCTGTGAGTTCGAGACCAGCCTGGTCTACAAGAACAAGTTCCAGGACAGCCTCCAAAGCCACAGAGAAACCCTGTCTCAAAAAAAAAGAAAAAAAATTAAAAAAAAGAAAAAAAAAGGAAAATAATTGGTAAAAGACCTGGTGAAGGAAGTCCTTGTATCTAATTCACAACTCAAGATTTTCTTTCCATTCTTTGGCTCCAAATGCTGTATAGCTGCTGGTAATTATAATTTTTCAAAGCTCTATATTTTAGCAGGTGCTAAATTTGTAATATTTAACACTATTACCTGTAAATAGGTTAGGATCTTTAACTAAACAATGTTACTTGCCTTTATGAAAGTGCCTTACACACTGCAAGGAAGTGGGAATTAGCCTGCTTTTCTACTTTTCCACTTTAGTAGGTTTGGGGAAGAGGCATTCATTTCTTATTTGTTACTGTATAAAAGATTTAATAAAAAAAGACTCACTGTAGTACATATTCTGTACACTTTGGGTTATACGAGGGGGAAAAAAAAACCTGCCTCCACAAGTGTCACTATTGAATTGCATTTAGAAGGTATTGTTT